TTTTTCCTTCTTAGTTTTTTGCAGTAAAGCTGGAATGAATGGATGTTTTTTTTCCCTTGTATCGTATATGTTATGAAAAAATTATTCTTTGTTCTTTTGCCTTCTTAGTTTTTTACAGTAAAGCTGGAATGAATGCATATTTTTTTTTATTTCCTTGTATCGTATATGTTGTGTTGTTCTTTTTCGCAGTTGGTATATGTTGTTTTTTTTTCCTTCTTTGCAGTGATTTTATTATAGTTTTTTTTTTGCCTGTTGTAAATTGCCGTTCGTTGATTTTTTGGCATTGGTGGTTCTTAGTTATTTAAGTCAAATGGATAGAAATGCTATTCGTCGGAAACGGTATGCTGAAATGCCACAGAATGAGAAGGCTGCACTTTCACGTCGGAGGCATGAAGCCAGGCTTTTGAAAAAAAAAATAGAAAGAGAAATCCTCGCACTCTTATGTTCATGAGATGCCGTTTGGTTGCATAGAAACTGGTGTCTTTTTTCCTGGTTCTACTCCTGAGGGAAATATCAAGCTACGGAGTAGTTAGGATCATATTTCTCATCATGATAGTCTTCTTGTTCAAGACTCAATGGACTCTATGTCCATCAGTGCACCTGCATGCCCCAGTGCTTGTAGTAGTGGTCCTTCTGCTGTTGTCATGCCACATTTAGTACAATGCGGTTTTACTCCTCAAGGTATATATTCCATTGTGGTATTTTACCCATCTATTCTGTGTCCGTTACTTTATTTAGCACAGCATTGGCTCAGTGTCTTTTAATGGCTTCACTTTTCCTATGCTATTTACAATTGAGGCCATCTATTTTTGTGCATTGCAGTAGCTCCACTGGATGACAGAGTTCATGATAGAAAAAGTCATCCAGAATCTAGTGTTGGAAAAATAAAAGTCAAAAACACTGTGTCTTCTCACCTTTGGGCTAACATTCAGCCTTCTTCTAATCATTAGCCTTTTCCGCACATTCGTCGAGAAGTCTTGCCTGACCTTTCAGATAATATTATAGCCTTCAATGAGAATGAACAAAAGCGTGATTCTCAAAATGAAAAAGTAAATAACATGTTTGAATCTTTGAAGGACTTGAAATCTACAATCCTTAACTCTTTGAACACTCCATCTTTAAATTGTTTGTCGAAAGACTATTATGTTTCCTCTTCTATTCCATTCGATCCCTGGTCTTTGAGCAATCCTCGAGGTAGAGATATTACTACGTTCAGCAATTCATGTTTTCTTTCTTTTGTTAATCAGCATTTAGTATCATTGTCCTTCATACGCTACTCTGATATAAATAAGGATGTCTATTTATACGCGTTGCAGCGACTCCATTCAATCAGAGAGCTCGGCGTCGTAAATGTCAGATAGAGACTAATGCTAGAAAAAGGAGAAAAAAAAAGAAAAAGAACATGTATCTTTTGATTCCTTGCTTAATGACCAGCCTTGTAAGTGGAGGCATGCAAATGCTTTGTCCAAGGCATGATCTCACGTTCCAGAGGTTAACATTGCAATTTCTGATAAGAACGAACAAACCTCTAGTACACAATGTAAAGGTACAGCTAACATCTTTGAAACTACACAGAACTTAAATTCTAAAACTCTAGGTTCTTTGAATGGTCCATCTCTGAGCAACTTGTCAAAAGACTGTGTTTCTTCTTCTATTACATTCAATCTCCAGTCTTCTGGTGCTTCTCAAGGCATAGATATTATTATACACACCAATTGTCTTGCCTTTCCTGTTCAATGTCTCATCCTTAAAAAATTTTCTCCCTCTCCTCTAGGATAATTCTGTCTTATTGCTACCTTATTAAGATTTGCGGTTCCAGATATCCAGTCCATTCAAAAAAATGTGATTGCTGATGCCATTTTAGATTTTTTTTCCATGTTTCGTTTATGTTAAGTTCGTTTAAGATTTTCTCCTACCCATTGTACCCGATACATAGAGTAAATTGCAGGAACAAATGGTAGACATGGTTGCTCAAATGTCTCTAGAATTGAAGAAATTCCTAGAGAATCTTTATTGCTTCCTGATGCTCCTGATTATGTGGAGCGAAGAGGTTTCATCTGGAACCTCCAAGCTTGTGCTGTTCACAAGGGGAAATCTCTATAGTTGCTCCTCCAATGCCTTATGCTCTAAAACAACTATTTATAGGGACTGATGAAGAATGTGAGCATTTTAGAAAAATGTCCCATACTTATAATAATAACTTGTCCTTCACTTTATTTGCTGCGAAGTATGATCCAAAATTGACAAAGAATACGCAAGGAATTTATACTTGTCATGTTCAGGACCATGTTTATCATTTTCTCAATAGTTTATCACAGAGAGGGGATAGACCTTGTGGAATTCATCTCTATTTTTTTGATATTGATGAAGAATTAGTAAAGAGGGTTGCTGCTTCTGACAAACTGCATGAGAGCACTTTAAAGCTGCTTATGGATATGCTAGGTTCTTCAAAGATCTGAGAGATGTTCCAAACCTTGAAAAACATAATATTGTGCTTATTTGTTATCCTGGGCTAGATCAACGTGTTTAAAATCTTCCTTCTACCTCTCAAGTTGGTGCAATATGGATTGAAAGTGCTGATGAATTAGTTGAAAGGCGAGCCTACATTCTAGTGTATAGCCACTCAAATACCAGCCACAAGGTCCAGCATTATTATGCTTATTATGATCCTTTACAATATCCTCTATTATTTCCTCATGGTCAATCTAGATGGTACCATGGAATTAAACAAGTCTATAAAAGAAAATGAAATGATACTCCTTGTGATAAAGAGATTATCATTGATCCTTCTTCTATGAAGAACCCATATGAACTTATGGAATTAGAAATGAGAGGCAAGTACATCTCTTGTCTTTTATAGTTAAGGAATTTCATGATTAACAAGTAATTATTAGACATACATTTTCTTCTATAGCTGCTGACCATGGAAAGAAGCATGAGAATACTGTATTAGCTAGAGAATATATTCTATCGGTTTCAGATAAGAGAGAATGATAGAACAGTCGATAAAAAGTTAAGATAATCCTCTCACTATAGTAGAGGTTTTCTCACTCTAAAGTAGTTGTGCTCTCTCTTGGGTTAAGAGCCCTCTCACCTCTTTGGTGGGAAGTCAGCACTTTTCAAATAGTTTCAAAATTCCACATTCCCGCAAATTTACATCTAGGAAACCGTCGATCAATAATCAACTATGAGGGTCTTTGGATTCAAGGTTAAAGGTACGTAGATCAGCTACAGCTAGTCAGTGCATGAAGGGCAGAAGATCATGCGCCACTACCAACTGATGTTTTGCTAATGCCTGGACAAAAGAGAGTCAGTGTTCTTTCTTTCCTTTGTCTTGCGTATGCGGCACAAGTGAGCAGAGATCATTATTCTTCTCTATTTGTCTATTTTCTTTGCTGAAACCTTTTTTCTGTTTAGCTTTTTGGTCCACTCTTATCCTTTGTTTTTTTGGGTCCCTTTGCTGTCTGCTTTGCGTTGGGTTTTCCTGAGTGTGGGTGGTTATACCACGTGAAATTGCTGGTCTGTACCATGGAGGGAGATTTGACGGAGCTCCTACAGAAATTTTCCCTTGAAGGGAATGAGCTACTAGGACCGACGTTGGAGCTGGAGGACTTTCATACGGGGGTGAAAGCTTGTGAGAACAGCTTTATTGGTCGAGTTATAGGAGAAAAATTTATTAATTTCACTGGAATTAAAAACTTTGTGGCTGTGGCCTGGGGATACCCCAGGAATCTGTCCGTGGTGGAACTGGGACCTAACGTGTTCCAGTTCAACGTGCAAAATCCTGATGATCAGCACAGAATAGTAGAAGGGGGGCCTTGGGTTATAGACAATCAGATGTTAGTCCTGAAAAGATGGGTAGAAGATATAGAAGAGGATTACAAAGCCTTCATGACAGCACCTCTGTGGGTGCAACTCTGGAACTTACCAGTTCACTGGCTTTCTAAGGAGGTTGGAAAAAAGATAGGAGGAGTTTTTATTGATGTTAAGGAGGTTTTAGTCCCACAATCTGGAGGGAAGGAGGGTAGACATTTGAAAGTGTTAGCTTTGGTCGATCTATCTAAACCTCTTCTCAGAGGTACCGTGGTCAGGATTGCGGGAGCTGGAAAATGGATAGCTTTCAAATACGAAAGATGTCCGAATTTCTGCTATAACTGCGGGATTGTAGGACACAGTGAGAGGTCCTGCAAAGAAAAGCGAAGTTTAGGAGGTAACAATGCTGAGAACCAGTACGGTCCTTGGCTGAGAGCAGGGAACACTAGGATTTCACCCCAGGAAAAATTTGGGAGGTCGACTGAGGGGAGTGATAAACGCTACTGGACTTTTAGGAATGGGGAGATGGTCGAACAGGAAAAAAATAGGCCACAAAATCTGAAGAACCTTGTAGATGGATTGGAGTTCTCTGGTAAACGAAGTAGTAGCAACCAGGAGAGGGAGATAGTAGGGTCTGATCTTAGAACAGAGCTGGATGTAGAAATCTCAACTAGAGAGGAGGAAGATAAGGCAGGATCACATGATAAGGTGGAGAGACAGATGAATGTTGAGAAAGAGGGCCTTGTTCTCACCACCTCTTTTCAAATGGGGGAAGGAATCCAGATTTGTACTGCAACGGAAGAGATGGAGGAGGATGTAGAGGTGGCAGTGCACAACCAAAATCTGGAAGCCGAGCTCAGGGAGAAAGAGGCAGGGGTCTTAGTGCTTCATCAGGACTCCCTGGGAGATGAAAAGATGGGAGGGGTGATAGAAAGGCAATACAGGAGATCCTTTAGAAAGTTAAAGCCTCCAGTCAAAACTAGAAAACCATTACAAGTGTTTAATGGTAATGACTTTTCTCAGGCTAGAACTGGAAAAAGGAAGATGTTGATTAAAGATGAATTGATGGAGGAAGTACAACAGGATGCAACTCAAAGGAAAAAATCTAAACCTATGGTTGAGCTATATTCTGAAGAGACTAGGGGAAAGGGAGAGGGGTCCTTCCTTAATGGGACCTCCAGTTGCAAATGAGAGTTGTGGTGTGGAATTGCCAAAGGGTGGGGAGTCCCTTGACAGTTCCCAGTCTGAGGGAGGTTAACAACCTCTCCTCCCCAAGTATGTTTTTCTTAAGCGAGACTAAGAACAGGAAGAATGTGATAGATAGAATAGCTAGACATCTAAGGTTGGATCATAATGTGACAGTGGAAGCTATGAATAGGGCAGGTGGAATGGCTTTGTTATGGACTAAGGAAACACAAATTGTGGAGGTAAACACTACAGCCTTCACTATAGAAGCCAAAGTGGAAGATAATGAGTCCCGGGCTACTTGGTGGTTTATTGGAGTTTATGCCAGTTGTGACCAGAGATTTAGGAAAGAACAATGGAGGGTGTTAACTGATAGAAGCAGATTGTGGGGATCCAGATTCTTAATCACAGGTGACTTTAATGATATTTTGTCCAATGATGAAAAATGGGAGGGTGCGTATAGGGAGGAGAGGAGTTTTAGGGACTTTAGAGATTTCATAGATTGTAATAGATTAGTGGATATAGGTTTTGAAGGTCACCCTTGGACGTGGAGTAATCACTAGGATAACGAAGGTGAAGTCCGACAAAGGCTTGACAGATGTCTTGGAAGTGTGGAGTGGTTTCAAGAATTTGAGAGGGCAAGGTGTCAACACATTGATACCCTTGCTTCTGATCACTCTATACTTTTACTAGATACTAATCCAGGGATTGGAAGGAAGAAGAAGAGGTTTTATTTTGATAAGAGATGGCTCCACAAAGAGGGGATTCAGGAAGTGGTGGAGCAGGCTTGGAACAAGGAGGAACATGGTTCTAAAATGTTCAAAGTAACTAGGAAGATTAGAAATTGCAGAATCGAACTTTTGAAGTGGAGAAATAAAGTCCAATCTAACTCTAGGAGCAAAATTAATGATCTTAAGCAAGAGCTGGATAGAGTTAGGAACTCAGATTCAGATAAGAGAAACGGGGAGGTAAGGGAACTTAAGAAGCAGCTGGCCGAAGCTTATAAGGAGGAAGAAATCTTTTGGAGTCAAAAGGCTAGAATTAGTTGGCTGCGGGAAGGGGATAAAAATACTAAGTATTTTCACTCTTACGTCAAGGGGAGGAGAGTGAGTAATAATTTGAGCAAAATACAAAGAGAGGATGGGTCTTGGACTAACAATGAGGATGAGGTTGTGACTGAAATTGCTGTCTATTTTAAGGAGCTGTTCACGAGTGGAGGGAGAGGTGAAATGACAGAAATTTTATCTGGTATTCCACACTCAATCACTCAGGAGATGAATGATAATCTGATCAAGGAAGTTAGCGAGAAAGAAATTCATGAGGCTTTGTTCTCTATGAATCCAGAAAAAGCACCAGGTCATGATGGAATGACTCCATTGTTTTTTCAGAATTTCTGGAGCTCCATTAAGAATGATATCATACCAGCAATCAAAGCTTTTTTTCACTCAAGTCTCATGCTTAAGTCTGTGAACCATACTGTCATATCTCTCATTCCCAAAACTCTGCATCCAATCAATTTGAAAAATTACAGGCCTATCAGTCTATGCAGTGTGATCTACAAAATCATATCCAAAATCTTGGCCAATAGACTGAAGAATGTTCTAGATTCTTGCATAAGCAAAACTCAATCTGCTTTTATTCCTGATAGACAAATTTTGGATAATGTGATTATTTCTCATGAGTATATGCATTATCTAAAAAACAAAAGACAGGGGAAAGAAGGCTACATGGCAATCAAATTGGACATGGCAAAGGCCTACGATAGGGTGGAGTGGCACTTTCTGCTTGCTATGATGGAACAAATGGGATTCTGTGCTACATGGATCAACTGGATCCATAGCTGCCTGAAGACAGTGAGTTACTCTTTCAACTATAACGGGGAAGTCAAAGGTTATGTGTCCCCAGAGAGGGGAATCAGGCAGGGGGACCCTTTGTCCCCATACCTTTTTTTAATCTGCTCAGAAGGCTTCTCGAACTTGTTGAGAAGAGCTGAGGAAAGCAAACGAATTGAAGGTCTAAAGATCAGCAGGCAGGGTCCAGTTCTTACTCACCTTTTTTTTGCTGATGATTCTATCATCTTTTGTAAAGCAAATAAGGAAGTGGCAGGGGAGATTATGAAAGTCTTGAAAGTATATGAAAACTCCTCAGGGCAGTTGGTCAATTTGGACAAATCTGCAGTGTTCTTTAGCAAAAACGTGGTCAGCGAGAAGAAGGGGGAAATCTGTCAAGCTCTGGGAGGAATGAGAGAGGCAACACAAGGCAAATACTTGGGGCTCCCAATGGTTGTCTCAAGAACTAAAGAACAGATTTTTGGCTTTGTGAGGGACAATATAAGGAAAAGATTCCAGAACTGGAAAAACAGATTTCTGAGCCCTGCAGGTAAAGAAGTATTGCTGAAGGCAGTCGCAATGGCTATGCCTACGTACATTATGTCGTGCTTTAAGCTGCCAAGGAAATTGTGTAAAGATGTCTGTGCACTGATGGCCAATTTTTGGTGGGGAGAATCTAATGGAAAGAACAAAATACACTGGATTTCTTGGGAAAGAATGGCTTGGGAAAAAAAGGCAGGAGGTCTAGGATTCAAGGACCTTGAAGCTTTTAATCAAGCTCTGCTAGGAAAGCAAATGTGGAGGTTAATTACTAGACCAAATCTGTTGGTGACCAAAGTGTTAAAAGCTAAATATTTTCCAAAGGAGTTCATCTTACATTGCAGTCCCACCAAAAATGCATCATGGTTTTGGCAAGGCTTAATGGGAGCAAGAAGCCTACTCAATGAAGGACTGATTAGGAGGATAGGGAATGGGCGTAGTACAAGCATCTGGGAACATAAGTGGATTCCAGATACAACTACAGGTAGGCCGACTACAAGTCGAAGGAACAATTGTGGGCTGGAAAAGGTGGAAGAGCTCATATGTCATCAAAGATGGAATAGGAATATCATCTTCAGAAATTTTAACAGAGATGATGCGCATAAAATTCTAGCTATTCCCTTGGGTCTTTCAGAGAGGGAGGATAGCTTTTATTGGCAACCAAAGGCGGGAGGGCAATACACTGTCAACTCGGGCTACAATCTCCTAATGAAGCAAAACAGAAAAAGAAAAAAGGGCAACCCTGATGGAGCAAGTTCCAGTTATGCAGATGGTAGCCCCCAAGTTGTTCAAATGTGGAACACTCTGTGGAGTTTAAATATTAAGCACAAGATCAAGTTCTTCATTTGGAAATGCATTCAAGGAGCCCTGCCAGTGAAGGAAGCAGTGAGGAGGAGAACGGGACAGGGTGATCCTACTTGTACAACTTGTGGAACTGCACAGGAAACAGTAGAACACCTCCTGTTGACCTGTCCTCATTCGATGAACATTTGGAAGGCAGCTCCTATCCAGTGGGATGGGGCAAAGGACCACCAAGGGAACTTCAAGCGATGGTGGCTAAGGATTTCAGAAGCACGGCTTAGACCAGAGGGGTTGGAACACATTGGTTTAACGGCTAATATCCTATGGCAGGTGTGGAAAGAAAGAAATAAGAGGGAATTCGAGAAATCTGACATAGTTACACCTTTCAAAACAATAACAAGAGCACACAAGGATTGGATGGAACAGCTGCAGGAAGAGGGCACGACAGTTGGAAAGAGCACAGAAGAAACAGCCCCTAGACAAGATATGCAAGATCAGAACTTTACGAATGAGGGAGTTGTGATAATGGAGATAGAAACAACAAAGAAAAAAGGACAGCATACTGTTGGGATAGGAGTCACAGTTAAGGAATATGCAAGGAATAGAATGACAAGGTGGTTAATGAATGAGATTAGTTTGGGAAGCAAAGTCCTAGATGATGCACTAGCTCTGAAGCTGGCCTTGTGCAAAGCTGTGCATCGAAACTGGAGTAAGGTGAAGCTGAAGTTTTGTAACAAGGAGCTATGGAGACAAATCAAACAGCAGAGCCCTGCGGACATCAAGATGGCAACAGTACTGGAAGACATCTCTAAGTTACAGAGGTTGTTTTGCATGTGCTCTTTTGACTTATGTAGACAAGAACATATGTTAGTTAGCAAAAAATTAAGTGAAGATGCTTTAGGCGTTATTGTTGATGAGGAAAGACTGTTTCCTCAGTGTTCTTAGAACACTTTTTGTATAGCTTCTCTCGAGCCGTTGCTCGTATATGTACTCTTTCTCATTAAAGCAATGAAAAATCCTATCGTTTCGGGAAAAAAAAAAAAAAAAAAGATAAGAGAGAATGATAGATCCATGCTGTTGCATGCACTTAGATTGCTATAGCAATTTTCGGTTGATTCCTATGTAAAAATTGAAACATCTAGACTGGATTTTCAGTGGAAGAGACAGAATGAAATTCAGACAGAAATTCTCGAAGGTGTTCTAGATAATATTTCAATTGGCCAAACTGAAGGTTCAAGAGTTGGTCGAAAGGTCATATTACCAGCTTCTTTCATAGGTGGACCGAGAGATATGAGGCATAGATAACTCGATGTGATGGCATTGGCACAAAAATATGGAAAACCGGATATTTTTCTAACTATGACATGTAATCCAATGTGGAAAGAAATTCAGGATAATTTGCAGTTTAGAGAAAAATCTCAAGATAGACCAGATCTTTTGTCTCAAGTATTTAGAGCAAAATTTGAGATGCTCAAAGCTGAACCTTCAAAGAAAATATTTTTGGACAGGTGGTTACATGTATTTATGTTATTGAATTTCAAAAACGTGGATTTTTGCATGCTCATTTATTATTAATCTTGAAGCCACAATTCAAGTTACTTAACCCTGAGTCATTTGATAGAATAGTTTGTGCTGAATTGCCAGATCCCAAACAGCATCCTCATTTGTACTCTCTTATCCTTAAACACATGATTCATGGCCCTTGTGGAACAGTGGACAAAAGTAGCCCTTGTATGAAAAATGGTGCCTATAAAAACCATTACCCAAAAAACTTTTGTGATTGTATAACTCATGCTGAGGATAGTTATCCATACTATATGAGAAGAGATGATGGTAGAAAAATAACTGTCTGTAGGTTTCAACTTGCCAACAGATGGGTCATCCCATATAATTCATATCTCCTAGCCTTGTTCGATTGCCACATGAGTGTGGAAATCTGTTCTACTTTAAAGCTTGTCAAATATTTATACAAGTACGTGTTTAAACTTTAAAGGCCATGATCTTGTCAGTTTTAAAATTACTTCTGATGATGGCCGTGTTGATGTCGACGAAATTAAAGAATTCCAGCAAGGGAGATGGATTTCACCCTCTCAGGCTTTTTGGCGAAACTATGAATTCAGGTTAAATGAGATGACTCCAGCAATTTATACTCTCTAAGTTCATTTTCCTGGCCAGTAGCTTATCACCTTCAACAAGAACTCGAACCTTTTCCAATTGATGAGAAGAATTGATTTTTCAAAAACTATGCTGACCGAGTTCTTCAAAATGAACAAAGTGAACACAAAAGTTGAAAATTTGAAGGGCTTCTATGAAGAATTTTCAGAATATTTTGTTTGGTCTTCTAAGTTTAAAGTTTGGACTAAGAGAAAGCACAAAAAGGCCATTGAAAGATTGGTGACAGTTAGTTCCCGTGAGGGAGAAAGATATTACCTTAGGCTCCTACTGACTCATGTTTGAGCGCTTACATCTTTTGATGACCTTTTAACTGTTAATGGTCAGAAAATGAATAGCTTTAGAGATGCTGGTTCAGCCATTGGACTCTTACAATTTGATACATATATAGAAGAAAACCTTTAAGAAGCTGCTGTTTTTCAAATGCCATCTTCCTTAAGACTGCAATTTGCTACTCTTCTTGTTCATTGTTCTCCAGCGGATCCTAAATTTCTTTGGAAAAAATTTGAACTAGAGTTGTCTAGAGATGACCATCAATTACAACATCTTTGTCCCTATTTAGCTGATGAGATCAGAAATAAAGTCCTTGGAGATATCAGTAAATTAGTGGAACATATAGGTAAGAACTTTGTTGATTACCATCTAGCTCCAAACACTTCAACAGACGCCTACTCTGACCAACTAACAAAAGAAGTAGAGAATGAAAGAAATATTGAAGTTCTGCCACAAGATCTTGTAATGGCTTCCAAATTAAATGTTCAATAACATCGTGCCTATGACTTGATCTCAAAACAGTTTTTTCTTCTGGTGATTAGAGTTTCTTCATTGGTGGTCCTGGAGGAACTGGTAAGACCTTTTGTATAGGTCGTTTCTTGCTACTTTAAGATCCCAAGGTCACATTGCTATTGCTACTGCAACATCAGGCATCGTAGCATCTATTCTTCTGAGAGAAAGAACATCCCACTCTAATTTTAAAATACCATTAGATTTTTCTAAAATTAAAACTTGCTAGCTTAGTAAACAGGGTAGTGTTGCAAGATTGCTTTTTGAATCAAAATTAATTTTATGGAATGAAGCTTCAATGGCCAAGCGAGAAACTGTTGAAGCTTTCGATGATTTGCTTAGAGATACAATGGACTGTGACCTTCCTTTTGGAGGCAAAATTGTTGTGTTTGGTGGTGATTTCTAGCAAACTTTGCCTCTTATTATACAGGCTACAAAGGAAGTTCTTATAGAATCTAGCCGTGCTAATTCTTCTTTGTGGCCTAAATTACAAAAGCTGAGGTTAACAGAAAACATGCGAGCAATCTTAGATCCAGCATTCTCAGAATTTTTATTAAGAGTGGGCAAAGGAAGAGAGCCTGTCAATGCACATGGTGAAATAACTTTATCTAGTGACATGATCATTCCTTATAATGAAAGAGAAGAATCCTTGGATAGGTTTTTGACTTTTCCCTTTAAAGTGCTACTTTTACTAAGTTTTTACTCTATAGTTCACCATGTATATATCCTAACTCGGATTTCTTATGAACAGGTTGATGAAATCTGTTTTCCCAGATCTAACAACCTATTCAAAAGATCCCTATTGTATGATCAATAGATGCATTCATATCCCTATTGTATGATCAATAGATGCATTCTTTCTCCAAAAAATAGTTCAGTCGATGAAACAAATGACATGATGATCAAAAGATTTTCAGGAAATCTTCATGTTTATATAAGTTCTGATAAAACTGTTTATCCACGGCATCAAGTAGATTATGAGGATTTTCTCAATTCTCAAAATCCAAATGGTCTTCCTCCTCACAAGTTGTTACTTAAGGAAAATTGTCCGATTATGCTTATGAGAAACTTGAACCCTGCAGAAGGATTGTGCAATGGTACGCAACTCATATGTAGAGAGTTAAGACAAAATACCATTTCTGCTGAGATAACTTTTGGTCAGCATTGAGGAAAGAGAATTTTCCTTCATAGAATTCCTTTGCAAGCGTCTAATGATGAAAAGAATGGCCTGCCATTTATAAGAATACAATTTTCTGTCCGTGTTTGTTTTGCCTTGACCATTAACAAATCCCAAGGCCAGACTTTGGATTATGTTGGAATCTACCTTCATGAGCCGATTTTTTCTCATGGCCAGCTATATGTTGTTTTATCTAGAGTTAAAACCTCTACAGCACTTAAAATTCTTATTGTACCTGGAACCTTTGATGCCAAAAAACTGGATTGCAAGACTAGGAATGTTGTCTTTGAAGAAATATTCAGGCTGACTCAACACTAGAACTGAATCCATTAGAGCTATTTAAGCATGAGGTTTGTTAGCCATGATTATTATTCCTTATTGTTAGAATAGTAATAGCACTCTTTAATTAAACTGATATTTCTTACATATTTCTTTTATTCTTTTACATTTAAAATGGACATGCAACATTATTTCTTTTATTCTTTTATCCATCAAAGAAATTGTACTTGATATGCAAGATTGGACATGCAACATTATTTTTCAAGAAAAGCAACAAGTTACCCAATCATTGTCTACGCCAACAAAGAAGCAGAAGTTTATCTTTGTTGATGCAAAGGTACATGAACATAAATTTTCCATATAAAATTTCTGTTTTACATTATATTCATATTTATACGTAACAAATGCCTTAACATTTTCATTTATGTAATAGTAATCAAAAGTTGAAGGCATTATTTTCAGCCATGACATTCCTAGAGTGGGACTAATCTTGCAAGTATACAAGAAGTACAAGATATCAAATGCTATGGTTAGACCAATCCCCCCCAAATATCAGATAGATGAACTGACAATGCAGTGGATGATCACCAGTAAAACTGTCATTGAAGAGGTAGCTGATGATGAAGATATAATGCCTGTCAAATTTAATTACACTAAATTCAAAGACTCGGCACTGTACATGGATCACAAGGATAAGTCTGTGGGTATGTATACCATATATTAGACACATATTATGCATTGGTAGCTTATAATAGCTTTTATGAGAACATCTTGTTTTGCAGATATGCTAGGCATAGTTATTGAAGCGCTGGAGAACAAAATTGTTACCAAGGATTTTAAAGAATCCATTTCTTTAGAAATTTGTTCTTGTCAATGAGGAGTGAAAATTTTGTTTCTTCTGCCATTTCCAGTTTTGCACTCTCTATTTTTATCTTCTACATATATCTGATACTTTTTAACTAATAATTGATGTTTTGGTGTTAGATCACAAGTTGTGTTGCTTTCTATGTGGGATGATTTCATCAAGAATGAAGCACAACAAATATCGATAAACATGCATAGCTATCCTGTTATTATATGCCAAAGCATTAAAGTTAACAATTACAATAGTAACTCTGCATTACCTTCCTGTTATTTTAAATTACATTTACATAATCATCCGAAACACTGAATTTGCTAAGATAGCATAATGATTTATACTATAGGAGTTACGTTGTCCACATGGTTTGATTCTGCGATCCTGGTTGATCCTTCTTCTATACATGAAGCAAGAGAACTAAAGAACCGGTATTGGTTAATTAGCTATATTATACTTAGTAGTTGTTAAACTGCA